CGGGTCTAAAGATTTCGCCGAGCTTATCTCATAATGAAAGGCCCAAACATTCCGCCCACCTTTGAACGATCTGCGTTCAAATAACAATTGTGGTTCTATACTTTCTTAGAATTAATTGCCTAATGATACAATGAGATTAAGTGCATTTATGCTAAACATAAAAAATTTGCAGGCCAAATCGGCTTCTATGTACAGTTTATGATTAATTTTAAGTATTGCTAATTGCTAGGATATTTATAGTATATACACTATGTACATGAATCTATTTTTATTCAAGTGGAGTTTTCAACGTCGGGTATCAAACAGATTTTTGTTACGCATCTCTTAATGAGTCCGTCTTGAGTTTTTAACGTTACAACCCGGGTTATTTCGTCAAGTCCGGGGTGAAGACTAACTATTCTGCCCAGACGCCATTTCATCGGTGGGATGTTGTCCTCCTTAATCAGGACTAAAGATCCGATCTTGATATTGCCAGAAGAATCCAGCTTCCACTTGTGACGTTGCTGCAATTCGTGGAGATATTCTTGATGCCATCGTTTCCAGAAGTGCTGCACCGTCTGTTGAATGAGCTGGTATCTGTTGAGTCTATTTTGTTTAATCGTAGTCATATCTGGTTGAGGAAGTGCCATTAATGAGTCGCCAATAAGGAAATGTCCTGGGGTCAGAGGAGTAAGATCATTTGGATCGCTGGACAGAGGGTGCAAAGGACGGGAATTCAAGCAAGCTTCAATTTGCGTAAGAATTGTATAAAGTTCCTCGTATGTGAGGCGTTGTTCACCAATAACTCTCCTTAGATGCGTTTTTACTTGTTTGACGCCCCCTTCCCATAATTCTCCAAAATGTGGAGCATATGGTGGAATCAGATGCCATTCTATGCCTTCTTGCGCTAATGTGCGCCGAACCTGATCATTGTGATGTGAACTATTTATCAAAATTCCTAATTCGTTTAATTGGTTTCTTGCGCCAATGAAGTTCTTCCCATTGTCAGAATGAATAGAACGGCATCGGCCGCGACGAGAAATGAAACGATGCAAGCAATTAAGAAATGCGTCAGTAGATAAATCGATAGCAAGCTCGATATGAAGGGCCTTGGTCACGAAGCAAACGAATAAACAAATGTATGTCTAGCGGGCTACGCGTCCACGTCCACGTTCTTGTATTAAAATGGGACCAGCATAGTCTACTCCGCAAGTAGAGAATGCGCGAGCTGGAGTGATTCTTTCAGTAGGTAAATCACCCATTTTATGTGATTCCGTGACTGGATTCGCACGAAAACATCTCACGCATTGGCGCACAATTTTTCTGACGACTCGCCTGCCTGATAATATCCAAAATTTATCTCTCAATGATGCGAGAGTCCGTTGAGAGCCAGCGTGTAATAATCTAATGTGTTCGTTTCTTATGATTAACGTCGTTAATGGGTGCGATGTGGGTAGAATCATTGGATGTTTTTGTCCGAAAGTCATGCTAGCATTTTTTAATCTTCCGCCCACCCTGATTAATCCGCATTCATCTACGAAAGGATTTATACTTGCCAAGCGGCCTCCGAGACTTATGGATTTGTTTTGAATTAAAGATTCCAATTCTCTAGCAAAATGAGCTCGTTGCACAATACCTACGAGAACCCTTTTTGCTTGACTAAGTTCAATAGTTGTTATTGGACCGGTTTTTTGGTTATCTTCCGCGCTACTAGTGCGTATTTTGCTTCGAAGTTTCACTATGAATCTAAGACAGTACGCTGTTACGCGACGTAATTTGCAGTAGGATGAATAACGAGAGATTAAATCAAATTCGTCGATCGCAGGGATTTCGGATGCGACCAAGTGTGTCGTGGTAGTTTGCCTTGCCTCAGGCACGATTTCCGGCGTAGCTTCGGAAGAAGGCCATTCATTGCATTCCCGTAAAAGCCATGAGGGTCCATGCCACCACAGGGAGCAATTTTTAATTGACGAAAGATTGGTTCCGCGCGATATTAAATCTGCGGGGTTGTCCTCAGACATGACATGCCTCCAATGATTGGATGACGTAAGCTGCTGAAGTTCCGATACCCTGTTTGCTACGAATGTCTTCCATCTACATGGTTCATTTCTAATCCAAGCTAAAGTTATGGTGGAATCTGTCCAATATGATTCGCGTAAATTATCGATATTTAATGCGGTCTTTACTTTGTTTGCTAATCGAGCTAGAAGCAATGCACCACACAGCTCTAATCGCGGTAGGCTGATGGTTTTTAGGGGGGCAACACGGGATTTGGCGCATAAGAGGTGCGATTGCCATGATCCCGTATCCGTCCGTGTGCGCAGGTAGACAGAGGCTCCGTAAGCCTTTTCGGAAGCGTCCGAAAAACCGTGGAGCTCGATTGTCTGTGTAAGGTCGCCTGCTACCCGACGCGGTATTGACAATGACACGAGGTCATTCAGTTCTTGCCGATAATTGATCCAACGCGTGTGAAAATCTTGCGGCAGACTTTCATCCCAATGGACTTGAAGTTGCCAGAGTTCCTGCATGATCAATTTTGCCTTGACGGTTATAGGACCGATAAGACCGAGCGGGTCGAAAATTTGCGCTATTTCGGACAATATGTTGCGTTTTGTAATTTTATTGGGTCGAGGATTTGTGAGAGCATATCGAAGTTCATCTGTCTCAGCTGACCACAATAAACCTAATGTTTTAGATTCTCGGTCTGTTGGCCTAATTTCTATCTGATTATTCGAACTATCCTTATCGTAAGAAACAACCGTAGGATCATTGCTGGCCCATTTGCGAAGAGGGAAACCGTACTGTGATAAGACTAAGGTCAAAGATTTACGTATTTCAATCGCTTGTTCTGATGTTTCGGATCCCGTCAGCAAATCGTCTACGTAAAAATCGTGGATGATTATTTGACTCACCGAAGGCAATGATTTTGCATGATCTTCGCCAACCTGTTTAAGGGCCCGCGTAGCTAAGAACGAAGCGGATGCTGTGCCGTATGTAACCGTGTTTAATTCAA